AGCAACAGCCAGGTGCTAGTGGGTCATGCCTGTAATTCTAGCTACTTAGTAGACTGAGATCTGACTATTGCAGTTCAAAGCCAGCCCAGATTGGAAGAGTCTCCTGGAAAGCCCATGAGACTATTTAATCTCCAATTAACCACCAAAAAGTTGAAAATGGAGATATGATGCAAGTGATGGAGTACTGGCTTTGAGGACAAAAGCTCAAGGAAGTACCCAAGCCCTGAGTTTAAGCCCCAGGATAAGCACACACAACTTTCTGGGTGTCAGCATGTGAGCTATTTTTATCCTTGTGAATTTACAATTAAGTTTGCCTAAGTTGTTTGAACTTGTGTAACCTTTCTCCGTTCTGTCCACTAATAAATTTAATGCTCATTTTATCTGTACTTATCAGTCTTAGCCTGAATGCTCACATTGTCTCCTTGTAATAAATAAACATACAAGCTTAGTTGATAATAGATGTCTTTTTCTATGCCACAATTTGGTTGTATTTTTAGTTTTGGGAATTTAGCCATTGCTAAATAACTCTTGAAACTTTGATATTTGAGCATAGTACTGATTTACTGTTACTTGCAGTAGCTCTGACATGAAAATGCCTGCTTCATAGATTCTGTTCTGTTTATAGGTTGCACACATGACAAAAAGTGAAATGCATTTGCATGACACAGCCTTCATAGGTCCAGCACTTTTGTTTCTGGACCAGTATTTTAACAGCTTCATTGATGAATATATTGTACTTTGGATTGCTCTGGTAGGTATTGTACTATGTCTTATTTTAACATTTGGAAGCTGCTAATTTTCTGGTTTTAATGGGCCAGGCCTCTGAAAGATAGTAGAATTATAATATCTAAAAATGTCAGTAATCCATATATATGAGCTGCTGGGAATGTTCTTTATAACTTGGTATTTTGGTATTTTAGCCTTTTTTTTGCATTGTTCTTGCTAATGTTATCTAGATGATGGCTCACAAATTCCAAATTTCAAGATTATTTAAAACATTCAAACTACATGGACCCACAGCCTGTTTACCTAGCCATGGCCATCCATTTATGTATTGTCTGTGACTGCTTTCTTGCATTATGGCAGAGTTGAGCCATTTTGACAGGCAATAAGACCTGCAAAGCTTAAAATATTTTGCTATCTAAGAATTGTTGTATTTTACTGTCTAAGAGTTGTTGACAGCTGGGCATCAGTGGCTCACACCTATAATCCTAGCTATTCAAGAGGCTGAGATCTGAAGATCACAGTTGAAAGCCAGCCCGAGCAGGAAAGTCCATGAGCCTCTTATCTCCAAGTAATCACCAGAAAACCGGAAGTGGCTCAAGTGGTAGAGCTTGCACTCTGGGCCTAGGCAATGTCCCTGAGCTGAGGAGCTCAGGGACATTGCCCAAGCCCAGAGTTCAAGACCATGACTGACAAAAAAAAAAAAAAAAGTGTTGATAAATCAGGAGGAATTTTGAGTTATTTATTAGTACAAAACTGAAGGTGACTCTGGAAGAAAATCAGAGATCACCCTTCTGTCCTTTCTGGAAGCTTAAGGAGGTCCTGAGCAGATGCTGAGAATCTCACCATCTATTTTTTTCTCTCTAGGTTTTCTCTTTCTTTGATTTGATCCGCTACTGTGTCAGTGTGTGCAATCAGATTGCATCTCACCTGCACATACATGTCTTCAGAATCAAGGTCTCTGCAGCTCATTCTAATCATCATTAATGATGTAGCTGGTGTTGAATAGAAATTCATACTTTCTACAGGAAAGAATCTATATTAAGAATGGGGGTGGATAAAAACAAATCTAATTTATAATCAATGTCATATAACTCTTTGTTGTTGGTAACACTCCCTTATCTCTCCTGTGTGAGAATGGGAATTTCAGTCTCATCCTATAAATTGTACATGTTGTCAAGCAGAGTTTGCCCCAAGAAAGCATGCAGGGAAAAAAAAATACCATGTGTTTGTGATTTTCCTGGATTCAGAATAATATTACCATAAGGAGCAGATCCCCAGTGGTGGAAATTTCTACTGTAGAATATTTGCAGGTCTCAATATGGTTGCTTATTTTTTAATTTTAACAAAATCATCATCTTTAAGTAACATCTTTGTTTTCTTGCTGTCTCAAGCTTTCTTTAGTAAGGAGCTCAGCTATGAAAGATACATGCTACTAGGTTGTGAGGTGAAATGAGTAATACAAATCTCGAACATGGATTGAAAGGTTTACAATATTGAGCGTGTAATTTTTTTATTGCTCAAGAAATGATATCTCTTGTGGGCGTGGGAAATCCTGTCAGCATGCAGAATAATGTGGTTAACTTTTGTCGATCCATTTTATTTTTTTAAATAAATATATGATCTAAAAGCCAGTGTTTTTCTCTCAGTTTTATTCAGTGGAACAATGTACTAAATTCTATGTCATTTTTTAAAAATATTTAAGCAAAATAGTTGTTCTTTAACGAACAAGGAAAGTTTGTCAGGTGTTTTGTCCTATGTCCAATGACCTGTCTGGTAGAAATTGTTTAAAAAGGAAAACCAAGTTCCTTTTCTCCTGAAGTCATTATCTGATGTCAGTCATTTGGGCAATCACACCTTTCCCCCACTTCTTCAGTAATTTCCTGGGCCTTTCCAGAGGGTCACTTTATACTCTCCTAGCACTCTGCTTTTTGGAACTTTATAGTTTAAAATAGGAATCCACTGTCCTCCTTTAACTAGATCTGTTTCCATTGTTTACAACATGTTCCTTGCTTGAATGAAGAGATAGCAGAAACGTTTAGGGCTAAAATAAGGTACCTTATTATTGGCTTCTATTTGTACCTTGTTCTTTCATCAAGAATAAACCCTGGTGTCAACTCCTTGCCTAATAGCCAGACTTGTGCTCTCTGGTACTTTTTTTTTTTTTTCAGTCACTCCTGGGACTGTTAAAGTTTAGCATTCCACCACTTGAACCACAGCTCCACTTTCAGCGTGCGTGCGTGCGTGCGTGCGTGCGTGCGTGTGTGTGTGTGTGTAAATTGGAGATAATAGTTTCACAGACTTTTCCACCCAAGTTGGTTTTGAACTGTGATCCTCAGAGCTCAGCCTCCTGAGTATCTAAGGATTGCAAGTGTGAGGCACCAGCATCTGGCTCTCTTGCACTAAAGCTTTCCACGATTCATTGCAGATCTAGATTAACAATGAGACATAAGCATTTAATTTCTTTGCTAGATCATAGCAGGAAAGGAAATCAATCTCTCACTGGCTTTGCTTGCTAGCAAATTCTTCAGCATCTGGGATAGAGAAATACACTAGAAAGTACCAGGGCAAAGAAGGACAGTTAATTTTTTGTTAGTATTGATATGTCTCTTGTTTGATTATTTCAATAAATACAACAGGTGTTAATTACCTGGAAATTGAGGAATTTGGAGAAATTAAGTTCTGAAGAGGCTGAATACCAGTGTCACGTATACTGATGTTTTTTCAGAATGGAGCCCAATATCCTGTCTGCTGAGTTTTAATCCATTGCTTTCTGCCACACAATACTAGGCTTTTATGAATTGAAGTTATAAACCAAGTTGTTAGGGTAATTGAAATGTGTGTTCTAGAATTTATTAGCATAAAAGGAATCTGAAAAACACCCAAGTATTTATTAAATCCTTCCATTAGCCTTAGATAGCAGCAGCAGCAGCAGATCAAAAGTACATTTATGGAAGACCTCCACCAACCCTGATTCTTCATTTACCTAGCCAACTATTAAAGTCACCCAAAGACACTTTTAGGAAATACAGATTTCCCAAGCTTGGCTTGGTGCTGCAGCTAATTAGGTGGAAAAGGTGGAAGTTGGAGGCTCACACCTATAATCCTCGCTACTCAGAAGGCCAAGATCTGAGGACTGCAGTTTAAAGCCAACCCAGGCAGAAAAGTCGGAAATTCTTATTATTAACAAGCAAAAAGTGAGAAGTAGAGATGGGGCTCAAGTGGCAGATGCCAGCCTTGTGTGAAAAAGCTAAGAACGAATATAAAGCCCTGGGCTGGGAAGTTGGCTCGGTGGTAGAGTGCTTGCCTCACATGCATGAGGCCCTGGGTTCGATTCCTCAACACCACATAAGCAGAAAAAATCTGGAAGTGGTGCTGTGGCTCAAGTGGTAGAGTGCCAGCCTTGAGCTGAAGGACAGCACCCAGGCCCAAAGTTCAACCCACATGACCAACAAAATATATATATATATAAAGCCCTGAGTTCAAGTCCTAATAATCACACACACACACACACACACACACACACACACAGAATAAGATGCCTCAAAACGTTTCCATCGGCTGGGAAGGTGGCTCAGTGGTAGAGCGCTTGTCTTGCATGCCAGAGGCCCTGGGTTCAATTCCTCAGTACCACATAAGCAAAAAGGAAAAAGCCGGAAGTGGCACTGTGGCTCAAGTGGTAGAGCGCTAGGCTTGAGCTGAAGAGCTGAGGGACAGCGCCCAGGCCCAGAGTTCAGGCCCCACGACTGGAACAACAACAAAAAAAAAACGTTTCCATCTCTTACAATGTTTAAACAGTTTGTCAGTGGTTATATAGGGCGGGCAGGAGAATTAGGTGACCTCTAAATTCCTTCAGAGTTTTAACATTGTGATTCCTGTTGTCTCAGAATTTGTTGATACAAATGTGTTTAGCTAAAAGGGTTCTCAAAATCCAAGCAGTTGGACATGGAAGGTAGAAAACTAAAAGGACTAGTCCAGACTTAAGTTGTGGACAGGCCAGCCTATTTAATGAAGCCATGCAGTCTTACTATAGTCATGTAGGCTCTGAGGACTGAGATTCTTGCCCTCACACTACCCTAGGCTGCAGTTGCCTCTTTCCAGCCAGCAGCCTCTCCTCCCTAGATTGAGGCTATTCCATGTGACTAGCGCAGATTGCACTCTGTGTTCTTACTGGCCCCTATGGTCCTGTGAGCTCAATCAGCACGCCATGACCAGATCCTCCACTTATAGCTCAGTTTATTTAAATGTATTGCCTCAGATATTGACACACATACATGTAAACAATAAAATTTTCATCTTTATTATCATCTTGAATGTCTATAGGCTTTTGAAGCTTTTGGGCTCCCAACAGCTCTTTCTGTTGAGAATTTCTTAATAGTGGTTCCTAGGAGATGGCAGTTGTAGCAGCTTCTAACCAAGCACCTACAACACCTGCACTACGGTTTCTCACTGTCACCTCTTCAAAAATGAAAAATAAAGCAGCTTTAGTCCAGTTCTGTGAACTTGAGGTCAGGCCTTCAAAGTCCTTCCAAAGCTGTCAACAGAGATCCCAAAATACACACCAGGTTCCAGCAAGAACTGGTCACCAGGACTCGGAAGGAGGCTGTGGGTTCTGGGGCTGAGAGCTCCACCATCCTACCACACTGGCAGTGCCAAAGTGCCGAACAAGCCTGCAGGTCTAGTTTGTCTTCCTCCCCATAGCTGTTACTTCACAGTCTTTTCCCTGGGTTTCTTCTGTTTCTTTCGTTCTTCATATTCAAGTATTTTTTGTTGGAAATAACCTGTGGGTTGAAATACATGTTTGAGGCATCTTGCCTAGTCAAACAGAATGTGATGACCTAAGAAATAAGAATCAGAAATAGAGCCGGGAGCTGGTGGCTCACGCCTGTAATCCTAGCTGCTCGGGAGGCCGAGATCTGAGGATCACGGTTCAAAGCCAGCCTGAGCAGGAAAGTCCATGAAACTCTTATCTCCAATAAACCACCAGAAAACCAGAAGTGGTGCTATGCCTCAAGTGGTGGAGCTTGCGCCTTGAGCTGAAGAGCACAGGGACAGGGACAAGCCCCACGACCAACCCCCATAAAGAAAAAAATCAGAAAAGGGCTGGGAAGGTGGCTCAGTGGTAGAATGCATGCATGAGGCCCTGGGTTCAATTCCTCAGCACCACATAAGCAGAAAAAGCTGGAAGTGGTGCTGTGGCTCAAGTGGTGGAGCGCTAGCCTTGAGCTGAAGAGCTGAGGGACAACACCCAGGCCCAGAGTTCAGGCCCCGACCAACCAAAACAAAAACAGAAACAGACTGTCTACACCCATGTCCCATGTGTCCTCCCATGTGCACACAGTTCCACCCCTGTGAGGGTCCCCAGGCTCTCTCTGGTCTAAAAAAGCACACAAATGGGGCAATTAGCTGTTATCTAAAGTAAAGCAAGTCATCCTAGTGGACAAACACATTGACTTTTACACAACGTATATGAGGCATTTTCTTAGGTTTCAGGTTAGTTCTAGGTCTCTGGAGAAAAGCCGGGCTTTGTCCTAAAGAAGACCCTTTCTGGCAGATGATGGGGACTGTCACTGTACCTGCAGGAGGATGCCTGCTCTTCTCAGCTTCCTGAATGAAAAGAGAGAAGAGCTGAGTCTTCACAAACTTCTTCACAAATCGCCGGTTTGTCTTGGAATTCAGAGCCTTATAGAAGGCCCGTTCTTGGAAGTGGCCTTGCCCATTGGTCTCCCGCTTGATATAGGAAGCATAGTGACCAACAGTTTTGACAAAAAACTGCACAAAAGGGCCTGAAACATGTTCGTTGATTTGTTCTGAAGCTACAGGAAACACAGAAAGGCCATCTCAGAGTCACAGAAGGATAAATTACCCAAACTAGCCTCCAAGAACAGCTTCCATTACAGATCAGAAACACGAGAAAGCATTGGGAAGGGCTCACAACTGATTGACTAATTAGAATGGGAGTCTGGGTGTGGGTATTCAGCGACTGTTAGGGAAAATAAAATGTCATATTTAGGATCTAGGAATCTTTTGAATGAATTCACTTGAGTTAAAGGGAATGGTTGGGCCAACATTGTTGGCTCATACCTGTAATCGTAGCTACTCAGAAGGCAGGTATCTGAGGATCATGGATCCAAGCCAAGATAGGCAGGCAAGTCTGTGAGCTTACCTCTTGAATTAACCAGCAAAAATAAGGTGGAAGTAGAGGTGTGGCTCAAGTGGTAGAGTACCAGCCTTGAGTGGAAAAATCCAAGGGAGAGCACAGAGCCCTGAGTTAAAGTCCTACTACTGGGGGGAAAGATGGTGTGGGAGGAGGATTGGGAACCATGCCCTCAAGTCACCTTGGAGAAATCCACAGTAGGAGAGGCCTATGACTTACTCTTTAACTCATTGATCCCCTGGCCAAGAGAGGCTAAGATGTCATCCTGAAGCTTCGGCGGTAAGATGTCTTTTTCATCACCAACCTAGGAGAAGACGAGTCAGTTCAGAGATCATGCAGTTGGAGAGGAGAGCAGGAAAGCATGAAGCAGTGGCTACAGGCATGGCTGAAGTGGTAAAGCTCTTAACAAGCAAGTTCAAATCTTAGTACTGCCCAAAAAACAGAACTTGAAGATAGCATGAATTCCACACCCCTACTTTATCACTAAACCACCATAAACCGCAGCTCAAACTAGTTTGTTGCCTCCACTTTTCCTTGAAACATTAGCAAGAGATCATCTTAGTCCAGGTGCTAGTGGCTCACACCTGTAATCATAGCTACTCAGCAAGCTGAGATCAGAGGATTTGAGGTTTGAAGCCAGCCCTAACAGAAAAGTCTATAAGACTTCTCTCCAATGACCAGCAACGAGCTGGGAGTGGAGATGTAGCTCAAGTAGTAGAGTAAAAAACAATCTAAGCACTCAAAAGTTCAATCTTCAGTACCAGCACACATACACACATAAAAGAAGACATTGATGATTTTCTTGTAAGGAAGGCTTCTTGGTCTTCGCTTGTGTCTTCCTTGGGAGAGAAGTTTTATTAACACAAGTTAATAGACTCATGGGACATGAGACTAAAGTAGGCCTGCGAGGGCTCTGAACCCACATACTTACCGACAATAAGAAGACTCCTTCACAAAGATCCACCAGCAGCACCTGAAGTAAACAGAACGGCATCACCTCTTCATAAATCTCAGCATTTCACAGACCATCCCCATTTCTGCCTATAGCTATGCCTTTGAGCCCAGGTAAGAACAAAATCAGCACATTCAATTCTCATTTCCAGCTTGGCATTCCCCATCCCTCACCATTTTCCTCTAGAAACCTGAGTTCTCTTCCAGTCAAAGAGTATGTGTATTTGTACATGGAAAGGGGATGGGAAATTTCACTAAGGTAAAAGGGGAGTGATATGAGAAAATCATAGCCAGTCACTCCCTTGATCAGAGAAATTATTTCACTATTTGGACATCTATCACATAGCACACAAGGTAAAAACTGCATAATTTATCTCATTAATCCTGGCAACATTTCTGTGAGGTAATTGCTATCTACATTTGGCATAGGAGGAAACAATCTTCAAGAAGGTAAGTTGCAGCCTGGCAACAGTGACTCCCACCTGTTAACCTAATCATTCAGGAATCTGAAATCTGAGGATCATAGTTTGAAGCCAACCAAAGCAGAAAAGTCTGTGAGACTGCCATTAACCACCCAAAAAAGCTGCAAGTGGAGCTGTGGCTTAAATGGTTGAGTGCCAGCCCTGAGCAAAAAAGACAAGGGACAGCATCCAGGCCTGAGTTTAAGACTCAATACAAGCACCAGAAAAACAATAATAATAATAATAATTGTAAGTTGAAGGTCATAATGCTGATAAAAGTTAACCAGTTTTCAAGCCTACATTGAGCTGTCCTTGGCATTGTGTTCTGCTCTCTACAACTCCCCTCTCAGCTCATCTCTGGTTTGCTCAAGGATCAAGACAGACATGTTGGTGCTTGCACCAACTTGATATACAATTAATTGCTGAGATTCTGTTGCAAATTGCTTCAGTGAGCCAGTGGTGGAGTGTGTGCTCAATATGCATGAGACCCTGGGTTCAATGGCTACACCAAAATAATTACTCTCATAAAATAAGCCCCATCAGAAAGTTGGAGCTTTCCACAGGAAATTCAGTAAGGGAAGAAAATGAGCATCAACAAGAAGAGGAAGGAGACAGAATAAAGAGACATTTGTTTTGGGGAGACAAGTAGGAGAAGCCTGGGGTACCATCCTGACCTCAGGGCCTGTCATCAAAACCAGGAACTACAACCAACCAGAAGATCTGTTTCTTTGCTCCTCAGAATGGGATTAGTTCCCAATATTTATGTTGGAATCTTTTCTCTGAAATTTGGGTTTTCAGACTTTTCCTGAAACGTCCTAAGTTCACACACCATTCCATATTTTATTTTATTTTATTTTTTGGTCGGTTGTGGGGCTTGAACTCTGGGCTTGGGCGCTATCCCTCAGCTCTTCAGCTCAAAGGAGAGTGCTCTACCACTTGAGCCACAGCACCACTTCCGGTTTTCTAGAGGCTTATTGGAGATAAGAGTCTCATGGACTTTCCTTGCCAGGGATGGTTTGAACCATGATCCTCAGATCTTAGCCTCCTGAGTAGCTAGGATTACAGGAGTGAGCACCGGCACCTGGCCCATTCCACATTTTAAAGGGCAGCATTCCATCAGGAGCTGGTGGCTCACACCTGTAATCCTAGCTACTTAGGAAACTGAAATCTAAGGATCGAGGTTCAAAGCCAGCCCTGGTAGACAAATCTGAGAAAATCTTATCTCCAATTAATCACAAAAGGCAGTAGTACAAGGGTGGCTCAAGTGGTTGAGTTCCAGCCTTGAGTGAAAAAGCCAAGTGAACGCACTAAATCCAAGCCAAAAACTCAAGGGCAGCATTCAGCCATTCCCTTTTAGGCAGGGGTATCACCACACGGGGTCACCAGTGTGCCACAATCCCCTAAATCCTGTGTTGGGCCTCTTTTTTTTCAATTTGTTACCTGTCTTTACAGGAGAGTGAAGAATCTCCTATATGTTCCCTTCTTCCAAAACAGCCTAGTGTCTCCCACTAGGCTGATGCAGGCCTCTTTAGTAGCTAGCCTTTCTGCCCTTCTAGCCCTCTCTGCATGGAAGAGAGGGTCTGAAAATATGCCAAAACAGCACACACTGCAATTATCCATCTTTGGAGAAAAGCTGAACTAGTTCAGGCCTGAAACCTCTTGTATACATAGGCTCAGATGCTTTCGTGAAAGAAAGGCTGCTCATCTAGGGGGCTGGGAGGAATGATTGCACATGAAGAATTTTTTTTTTCAAAGTTGCTCCCAAAAGTCTTCTTTGGGCATATTATAGTCTATGGAGTAATGTCTGTCCAAGAGCTTATAAGTAGAGTCAAGAGATTCTCTTCCCCCACCCCAACCCCAGTCACTCTGCCTAAATGGCCCTCCTTCATTCTCACCCCCTGTCTGCTTCTCAGAGTAGCTGCTTAAGAGCAAAGTAAGCCAAGGCTTTGAAACAGCATGAACCAGAGTCTTTCTACCTTCCCCCGCTCTGACCATTGAGGGAGGGCCCAAACTTCCGAGGAACTGGAGGTTCAGGAAGTTTCATAACTTTGGGGGTTGGGACATTTGAAGTTTAATTGCTAAACAGAAAGCTAATACTCTGGCCCAGTTAGTCACAGTGCTAAGGGCAGTTCAAAGGGCGTGTGTATTCAAGTCAGCAGCTGCAGGGAAGGGTGAGTGAGCTAGGGGAGCGAAGAAGGGCCATGCAGCCTGCCTCCCTGGCCCAGCAATACCTCCTGCAGGACTTTTCAACTTTGTACTTGGTTCTACATGGCCTGTGTGGACTTCTGCTAAGGAAAGTGGATTCTCTGGAGTTCAACTAGGTCTTGTATAAAATGGAGTGTCTCCCACTAGGCTGATGCAGGCCTCTTCAGTAGCTAGCTTTTCTGCCCTTCTAGCCTTCTCTGCATGGAATGAAATGGTGATTAGCCAGGGCCAACAGCCCAAGTAGCTCTCCTGCCTTCAGACATCAAAACATGCTAGCCTATTGATCCTACAACAATTGAAAGCACAGCACATGTTTCATGTTGTTCTTCTACACGGGAGATAGATTTCTCTAACAGTCATTTTCACACTGAATCCCTGTTCTGGGTCAAGGTCACAGACAAGAAATAAAGACAGGCTGGGTGCTTGTGGTTCATGCCTGTAATCCTAGCCACTCAGGAAGATTTCAGTTCAAAGCCCGAGTCCAGGCAGAAAAGTCCATGAGACTCCATCTCTAATTTGGGCTAGAGGTACAGCTCAAAGAGTAGAGTACCAACCATAAGCCAGCAAGCAGGGGGAACACAAGGCTCTGAATTAAACCCTCAGTACCAGCACAGAAGAAAAGGGGGTAAGGAGGAAAGGAGGAAGGAGAAAAAGAAGAAATAGAAAAAGGCGGACACTGGTGGCTCAACTCTGCAAACCTAGCTACTCAGGAGACTGAGATATGAGAATCAAGGTTCAAAGCCAGCCTAGGCAGACAAATCCAAGAAACTTGTATCTCCAGTTAACCAGCAAAAAGCCTCAAGTGGAGATATGGCTCAAGTGCCAGCCTTGAACAAAAAAGCTGAGCAAGAGCACAAGGTCCTGAGTTCAAGCCCCAGTACTAACACACACACACACACACAACTTAAATAAATCAATAATAAAGCTAACAAAATCAAAGAGGATTTGAATGGATTTGTATCTTCATTTGCTTTGAGCTACTCAAAGAAATGGCACTTTATTACAAGAATCAACTTTTTTTTTGGGGGGGGGGTTCCAGTCATGGGGCCTGAACTCTGGGCCTGGGTGCTATCCCTCAGCTCTTCAGCTCAAGGCTAACGCTCTACCACTTGAGCCACAGCGCCACTTCCGGCTTTTTTCTTTTTGCTTATATGGTGCTGAGGAATCGAACCCCGGGCCTCATGCATGCAAGGCAAGTGCTCTACCACTGAGCCACCTTCCCAGCCCAAGAATCAAAAAATTTTTTAAGACTCTTTGTTTGCAGGACAGCTCACTTCAGACTCCAAGGGGGGGTGTGCGGTACAGACCAGCTATAGTCATCCACTAGGCTGGGAGATGAGATGCCTCCAGAGACTGCTCACTACATCAGGCTGGTGTAGGAGCCTCAGGATCCCTGAATATATCACATACTTCCCAAAGAGAAATCATCCCAGAGAAGAGAGCCCATACTCTATGGATGTGTCAGGCCCCAGCAACTGAACACTTAGCTCCATCGTATAGACGTGGAATCTCGAGGCTTAAAGAGATGAAGTAACTTGCCCCAAATCAAACAGCTGTTAGCAGCAGAGCTGGGGTCCAGATCTAGGTCTGCCTGGCTCCAAATCCACGCACTCTTCTTGCTGCAGCATACCTCTTCCATGGGGCTGTCCATCACCTCCTGCCGGAAGCGCATTTGTACTCCAACCATGAAGGGGGTAGGGCAGCAGACAGTGGCCAGAAGACTCTCTGGGACGACAGGGATGTAGGTGTGTGCCCAGCTGAAGGGGTAGAGCAGCGCAGCAGCAGCGTGGATGCACTGAGACAGAGTGCTGGAGCACAGAGCACAGAGGATGAGAGTCAGAGGGGTTCCCAAGCCTCCTCCCTTGACTCCCCCTCACAGCCCAATACATATAGCAGCCCTTGATAGTACAACCTGTGCTGGTGTAGAAAGGCAAGTCTGAGAGCCATGGTGGTTACAGAACTTGTAGCTACTTGTTGTCAGGAGGGGAAGGGCAGACAGAGTGAGCCCTGGCTCTGCTCACCCGGGTGGAGCTTCCTTTCATCTCTTTGCCCAGTTACTCTTCTCATTTCTAATCCAAAATAGAAGTAGCTCAGAAGAAGAGAGGAAGAAGAGATGTCTTCATTCAAGCAGAGAAATGATTGGGACTCTCTGATGTGAGGACATCAGAGGACATGGCTACTGGGAAAGGGTAAGACTCTGGCCCGGCTTTTAAGGAACTCACAGAGTAGGAACAGTCATGACCGCAGAGAGACAAAGCCTTATCTCCTGTGTGCCTATCTACCCTCAACCCCATGTGACCTCACATGATTCTCTTGGGACCATTTGAGGTTATTGAAAGCTACCAAGTCAACGCCTTAGTTAACTTGGGAAATTCCTAGGTTCCAGAAACCTCTGTGCAAGGATTCCTTTATGGAAAGTCCCAGAGAGGTGGCCACTCTAGACTTGGCTACAAAGCATTCTTCACAGTCATCACTTAGTTCCTTAAACAGATAGATAGATAGATAGATAGATAGATAGATAGATAGATAGATAGATAGATAGATAGATAGATAGATAGATAGA